TGGTAGATCGGTTGGTAGCTAGGACGAAGGGTAGACAAGTAGATAAGCATATAATTAAATATTGAGATAGATAGAATGCTCAGGCTGTATGCTATGGAAAGCAGGATCTTCATCCCTGGCTTTTGCCATAACGGACTGTGATTCCCATGTCACTCCCAAGTCAGAATGGAGGTGGAGGCGGTCACAACAGCATTTTCACTGCTCACACAGCACACTGAGTAGGGGAGACAAGCAATTCGTTATTTGAGTGTGTAGATAAGTGTGTAGATGGATAAACTGATTAATAAATTAGACCACAAAGAAAGAAATCCTCAGTCATAAACCGTAAAAAGCACATAATTTTTCCGGAACGAAAGATCTCTAATTTTATCCGAGGGCGCGGATGTAAGACGACGGGCTAACCGCGTTTCATATGCCAGTGTGTCTGCGAGAAGATTTCTCTGTCGTGACATTTCTCCACTCCCCGGGCATAGTCTAACGCTTCAATAATCTTTGATTTTGGCAACCGGTATTTTCGCTAATAAAATGAAATGCCCATTTTAGGCGACTTCCGTCCGGCTTTCACTCACAGCCTGGACTGGTGGAAGGCAGACACCCCAGAAAAGGGACCTTATTATCAGCGCGGGAATTTAGGTGGATAATGCATAGTTAACGTATTCTCAACGATTTTTGTACCACGTAGTTTTCTACTAACTCTTCTGGTCCCGTGGAGGCACAGGAGTTAGACGCTTATCTGCCATTCTGAATGTTTAGGTTCGATTTGTATAATTGACTTTAAGGGCCGATTAAGTCTAAAAAAGCTACAGAAGAAATGTAATGGGTAAGAAAAAGTTGGCAAGCGGGTGGTGTTTCCAGTTCATTCGTTAAGTGTTGACAAGAATATCACCACAAACCCAGTGCGCCTGTAACGTCAGCCACAAAACTGTCAATAATGCCTGTATTTGCCGCTTTTAGTTAGTTGGTTAATTGACAGATTATCCTCATTGCATGTAGGGCAAGCCCATAAGCGCTCAGATCCCATCTTCAGTTTATACCATAGCGTGTCGTGGATGATAACACCGGTCATGATGACATCAAACACGTTGAATCCGCCCCACGCTGTTGAACATATTTCCTAGACGGTTTCAGCTGAGTTGCACGAAACTCCTTAACACCGACGAAATCCTTCTTGCATCTGTTGTCTTCGTAGTACGGTAGCTAGCCTCTGTGGATGTGTCTGATGTGTTCTCACCATGTTTCTTTATAACCACGCCAGCTGAATCCCCTTTCGTTGATTGTCATCTGATCTGGTCCGCTGTCTGTAGGTTTGACACACTATGATAACACAATATCTTTTTGGATTTCTAGTCAATAGAATAAATCCTAGATGCCCTTTCAACTTCTAAAGAAGTTATAATAGAGGTACCCGTAACTGAGACATCGGCCAGGCGTAACCTGCAGTCCTTTGCCTGTAAGTAGCCTGTAAGGAGTGTATGTGCACCTGAAACAGTCGTGAAACAACTACATGTGTGGGCATCTGAAAGAGTCGTGAAACAGCTACATATATAGAGATTTGAAACAGTCATGAAACAACTACACATATGTGGGCATCTGAAACAGTCGTGAAACAACTACATATGTGGGCATCTGAAACAGTCGTGAAACAACTACATATGTGGGCATCTGAAACAGTCGTGAAACAACTACATATGTGGGCATATAGGAAACAACTACATATGTGGGCATCTGAAACAGTTGAAACAGTCGTCAAACAAACTACATATGTGGCATCGTGAAACAGCAGGGGATCTGAAACTACCACATATGTAATGGTGATCTGGTCTGGGGGGGGGGGGGGGGGGGGGGAGAGAGACTTCCTTAAATTTTGTTATTTTTCAAACAACGAAATAAAACCACAAAGATTATTGTCAGTCTAAACGCCGATCATGACAAAATAGTTAAAACCCAACAGAAACACCCAACACCCAGGTCAATAAGGTCCTTTCTTTCGCGATGAACGATCAGACGTTTTCCTACAGACGGATTCGGCGATGCGCCACCAAAAAGCCACGCGCAGAACGCGAATTAACGCGAACTGTAATAGTAATAAGGGGTTGGAAATTAGCGGCCATTAAGGCGAGATTGCAGGGTTGCTAGACACGTAACGAGTGCCAGTTGTCCGCCACCGGAGGTCACCTCTCTAATTATAATAAATGCTCCCGGAAAGGAAAGGGGGCAGGCATAAAATTCACGAATCTCTCCCAGTTATAATATGGGTTATTCGTTGTGTAGTGTAGCCTTGAACAAGGGAAATGTTCTCAATTATGTATTCGTATTTGCTAAATATTGTTAAGCTGTCAACATGGTATATGTATGCTGGCGGGATGGGAAGGGGGATGAATTGTTGTAATTCATTTGAATAATTTATGTGGAAATGCCAGGAGGTATGAGATTTAAAAAAAAAAAAATAGACGTATGCCTGGTTCCTAGGGCGTCGATACAAATGAGAGGTTACTGGGGTTAGGGCTCAGTCTCATTTCCTGAAAGATGGAGGGCTAAGCATTGTATAAATGGTTAGTTAGTTGCGTATCCTTTACAGGACGTTGCAGAACCAACCCCAACAGCCCCTGGGGCTGTTGTGTGGTTTTTCTAGGCAAATTTACGTCCAGTAGTTGGCCATTGCTTTCTGTACGGTCGGCTTTCTTGATACCACTGTCGAAACCAACACGAGGCGCATGGCCCGCAGCTGGGATCGAACCCGGCACCCCGGCATTACGAAGCGTTCGCATCGACTTAGCCACAGAGCCAACATTGTATAAATGATTCCGATAAAATAATGATAAGTAAAGGACCCCTTTTTCACGCCTTCAGCATATGTAGCTAGACCTAGATTTATAGATCAATCGGTATTCTGTAGTTAATGTGGTCAACAACACTCCGGTCGCCTTTGCTTTCCATGACTTTGAAAAAAAAAAAATCCTCAACAAAGGAAAATTAGGGGGATTTTTTTTTTTCAAAGTCATGGAAAGCAAAGGCGACTGGCGTGTTGTTGACCAAATAATGTGAAAGCTTTAATATGCGGGAAAACTTAGAATCTGTATAGTGTTAAAGCTATAATATGCGAAAAAGCGTAACATTTGTATAGTGTGAACACTATAATATGTGAAAACAGCCTGGAATATGTATAATGTGAAATTTATAAAATGTGAAAACAAACTGGAATCTGTATAATGTGAAAGCTATAATAAGCGAATGCGGCGTCCGTGGCTAAGGCGTTGCGAGTCCGACTCGTAAGCCAGCATACCGCGATCGAAACCCACTGGAGGCTGCGTGGATTTTTGTCGTGGTATGGGACGTCGCAGGTCGACCCAGCCTAAAATGGGTACCAGGATGGGCTGTCCTGGGAGAGTAAAGACAGCCGGTGTAATGCTGACCACATTACCCACAGAGTGCTGATGGTCTGTAAAAATATGGGACGCTCTGCCCATATGCCCGATGCGCCGAAAGGCGTGAAAAGGGAACTTTACTTTTACTTTTATAATATGCGAAAAAGCTTGGAATCTATTTAATGTGAAAGCTATAATATGTGAAAACAGCCTGGAATCTGTATAATGTAAAAGATATAATATGAGAAAAAGCTTGGAATCTATTTAATGTGAAAGCTATAATATGTGAAAACAGCCTGGAATCTGTATAATGTAAAAGATATAATATGAGAAAAAGCTTGGAATCTATTTAATGTGAAAGCTATAATATGTGAAAACAGCCTGGAATCTGTATAATGTAAAAGATATAATATGCGAAAAAGCTTGGAATCTATTTAATGTGAAAGCTATAATATGTGAAAACAGTCTGGAATCTGTATAATGTGAAAGCTATAATATGAGAAAAAGCTTGGAATCTATTTAATGTAAAAGCTATAATATGTGAAAACAGCCTGGAATCTGTATAATGTAAAAGATATAATATGAGAAAAAGCTTGGAATCTATTTAATGTGAAAGCTATAATATGTGAAAACAGTCTGGAATCTGTATAATGTGAAAGCTATAATATGTGAAAACAGCCTGGAATCTGTATAATGTGAAAGCTATAATATGTGAAAACAGTCTGGAATCTGTATAATGTGAAAGCTATAATATGTGAAAACAACCTGGAATCTGTATAATGTAAAACATATAATATGCGAAAAATCTTGGAATCTGTATAATGTAAAAATAAAATGCAATTAAAAAAATGCAATGATTTTCGAGATTGATTTTCCGAGTTTTTTTTTTTTTATTTTTTTTTTTTTTTTTTTTTTTTTTTTTTTATTGTTGTTTTGTTTAAGAATAGATAAATTCGTGACAAGCTGAATCTGGTTTTTGAAGCTTATTCCTTTTATGTTTAATCCGAGCAATGACTCTTTAGTCATCTAGTGTCAGTCTGTCTGACAACAACCCTACAGAAGTTTTTTTTAAGTCTTACCTTTACTTTTCCTCTTCCAAAAAGACGTTTTGAGGCATAAGGTTAGCTGCGTATCCTTTACAGGACTTTGCAGAACCAACCCCAACAGCCCCTGGCTGTGGTTTTTCTAGAAAAATTTACGTCCAGTAGTTTGCCATTGCTTCCTGGACGGTCGGCTTTCTTGATACCACTGTCGAAACCAACGCAAGGCGCATTTCGAGGTATTTACAAATGAACAAACAGTTTTCAATTGGTTTGGGTGCTTTGCTGGGAGGAAAATCTTCACGTTTAACCCGCATTTCCGAAGGGGGAGCTTTGGGTTATAATTGTGACTAGATTATGTGCACCAAACAAAATGGCTTAGCATTGTAGGCTACCAATAGCCCCGCAAAGGACTCCTGCTGTTCTGATGCGATCAAAGGATACAGACCCAATTACTGTCCCCAACCGAAGGCGAAGTCGTCTACTGGCGAGCCAATTTACGACAAATCGCCATAGCAAGTTTTCAATTATTTTGTTTCCGCTTTTGTTTTCACAGTCAAAGGCGACGTCACACCTTCCCAAAAGACCTGTCCAGCGTCCCGGGCCAGCAGTGAAGGTGACGAGGCAGACACGCCGCCAAAGATCAAACAGAGAAGGTCGCGGACCAACTTTAGCCTAGAGCAGCTCAACGAGCTGGAGAGACTCTTTGACGAGACTCACTACCCGGATGCCTTCATGAGGGAGGAGCTCAGTCAGAGGCTGGGCCTCTCTGAAGCCCGAGTCCAGGTAAACACCAGTCATGTGGTTGTTGTTATTATTATTATTATTATTATTATTATTATTATTATTATTACTCGGGGAAGTCGAGACGGATATACAATCAGCTACTGGTACCATCGGAATTTTAACTTTTCGCTTGCTGCTGAAGATGGAGACGGAGCGGTTATGGGGGTGTCCTGGGTGCTGTGATGTCGTTTTTTATTTCGAAATTCAACATTGTTATTATTATTATTAATATTATTATTATTGATATTATTATTATTATTTGGGTGCAGTCTTCATATTGGAGGTTTGCCGCATTGGATATGTGGGCTTTTTCTTTGGTACTTTTTTTTTTTTAATTCAACCCAAACAAAGGAAATCCCTGAGTCGCTGGGAAAGTCCAATATTCTAGGAGTGTTAGTTTTGGTTAGCGCATTGTTTCCCAACGTAGGGCCCACGATGTACTTTGATTGTTAAGGGCATGGGGGGGGGGGGGAAAGGGGGGGGGTTGATTGAGAAAGGGGTTGGGGTGGGATTGGGAGAATTCAAAAATGGTCTCATTCAGAGTTTAACTTACAAGGAGAAGGGGGAGGCGGCATAAGAATTTGAGAAAAGCTTAGATTGGATGTGGAACAAAGAAGGTTCTGAAACACTGAGTTAGCGTTAGGGTTAGAGTTAGAGTTAAGGTAAGTCGGTTTCTCTGAGGCGGTTAGAGCTGGCAAAAATGCTAACCCTAACCTAAACCCAACCGATAACACCCCTAGAATATTGGACTTTCCCGGGAATTCCGTGATTTCTTTGTTTTGGGGTGATTTACAAATAAAGTAACGTTTCTTTTTCTGTGTTCATCATCAACATAAACCACATCCGCAGTTAAGCGGTGGAAATGGGAGGGGTGGGGGAATAATTTGCGATCTAGTGCTCGCTGTGAAAGCGTAGTGTCTTTAATATTGTCGGTCCATGTTTAATTATGGTCGTCCTCTTTCTCTGCTGGCTGGTCTTCTGTAATGTAGTGCATATGATGGTATTTAATGTTGCTTCATTCTAACCAGATTATTATTATTATTATTATTATTATTATTATTATTATTATTATTATTATTATTATTATTATTGTTATTGTTACTTTAGTATAATCTTCACAATCGAGGTTGGTCGCAATGGATTTGTGGCTTTTGCTTTATCTACGCCTTAGGTTGTTTGTTTGTTTGTTTGTTTGTTTTTTTTTTTTTTTTTTTTTTTTTTTTTTTTTTCTTAATTTAAAATTCACCCCAAACAAAGAAAATCTCGGAGTTCCCGTCCAATATTCTAGGGGTGTTATGGGTTGGGATTATGCATAATATCATGATCTTTGTCAGGTTTGACTCCCTTAGAGTCTAACCCTAACTCTAACCAAACTCCAACCTATAAAACCCCCAGAATACTGCACTTTTCCATAACTCCGAGATGTTCTTTGTTTGGGATTCTTCTTCTTCTTCTTTTTCAATCCTTCTGTCAAAAAACGTATATCAGGAGGCCGGTAGCCTTTAGGAAAGCTATCGTACAGTCCATATCCTGTTTGTGAGTGAATTACAAATAAAGTACCTCGATGTTCAGATCATGTAGGAAGTGGATGTATTTCTTCCTTCTGATCCATGGCGTTAGGTAATTTTTCTGAAGCATTTCAGTTCTAAGGTGCTGATATTTGTCTTCAATGAATACTGAGGAACACGCCATGACTCACATTTATACACTGCCAATGGAAGATCCATGATCTTAAGTTGTTTTTTTTTTTTAACTTTAACTCACTTGCAGATACTATGTCGCAGGTTCTTCATGCTTTTTTAGTCTCTGCATCGCTAATGCGAGTCTATTTTCTGGCTTCTGATACTAAGTAAAAGGTTAGTTGCGTATCCTTTACTGGACGTTGCAGAACCAACCCTAACAGCCCCTGGCTGTTGTGTGGTTTCTCTAGGCAAATTTACGTCTAGTAGTTTGCCATTTCTTCCTGGACGGTCGGCCCAGTGATACCACTTCAAAACTAACGCAAGGCGCATGGCATTCAGCTGGGAGCGAACCCGGCACCTCGGCATTACGAAGCGTTCGCATCGACTTAGCCACAGAGCCGACGATACTAAGTATACCAAACCATATTTATTGTTCAGTATGTCAACCATATTTTCTACCCTTCGTATATTTGTAACTTACTTCCAGCCTTGACTTCAGTGAAGGATTTCGAAAATTGCCTTAGTTGTCCTGAATTTAATTAGTTAAGAAATAATTACTTGATATGTGGACGTTCTGATTCGTCATCTTACTAGCTTAAGAGAAGTCTACGGTGTTCTGTTCCCAGGAGAAGGAGGCAAGGTCAAACAAATTACACCCCACGTCTGCCTCTGAGACAACAAAATATGTTAGTGGCCTCCCTTGCTGCGGAGTTAAGGAAAATCCCGGACCATTTGTCTTCCTGATTGTCACAACCTCCCTTGAACTTGCCGAATTGTTATTGTCCGCAAATTAATTTTATTCTTCGGAAATCATATTAAGATAATGGGTTATATTCCTCCTAGATTCGCAAACCACTTGGCATTTGACTAATTCGTCTGTGGTCAGTGACTCGGTTTTTGCAATGAGACTGATTTAAAGAACATTGTGGTATAAACGCTTTCCGATAAATAGTGGCCTGTCTGGGGAGTCATAGGAGAAAGTGGAAGAATTCGATTATGTCAAAGCAACATTGATGTTGAAACCGTAATAGCGGAAATATGTTTAATGGTATTGACTAGAGTCTGAAACAGCAAAGAGAATAGACTTGCCTCAAAATCCGAACGCCAGAGTTTAAGTCAAGTAAAGTAAAGATCCCTTTTCACGCTTTTAGGCGCATCGGGCATATAGGAAGAGCATTCATATTTTTACAGACCAATCGGCACTAGATGAATTTATTCCGCATCACATTTTTTAAACGTCGCTCACGCCACCCCTTAGAGATCTACATACTCTCCATTCCTCGTTTGTGTCTTTCACTTGTGTTTGAAAAAGGCTGCCCGGCCGAAACGTTACGTTGTGTTGTTTTGTGCACGTTTTCCTCTTTCCCATTTTGTTGAGCTTTTTAGTCAAATTTCTCTTGAAGAACGAGTCGTTCCAAGTCGTCGTAACTACAAGTCGCAAGTCGTGTCGCACTCGAGTCGCAAGTGGCACGACTCGAGTTCCGACCTCTGGTGTATGGCGGCATACAGGTGTGACTCGTGGAATGTCTCGCAATCTTTAATAAAGAAAATATGGGCTTTTGAACTGAAATGTCATAGAAAGATTCTGGGAATCCCATGGAGCAAGAAGAAAAAAAATGCCGGTATCTGAAAAACTAAAAATCCTGGAAAGTTAGCTTGTAAACAGCATCTTGTCTCAGAAACTGAAATACTTTGGCCAGATCAAACGAAAGGCACGGTGCCATTCAAGAGGGGCAGGGGACGACCAGCATGAAGATGGACACGTGATATATGAAAAAGCACGATTCGAGACAGCTGGCAATAGACACAGTTACTTTCAGACGGACTGTGAGGGGAGCAATGCTCTGCAAAGAATCCGCTACACGAGAAAAAGGTTTTTTTTTTTTTTTTTTGGGGGGGGGGGGGTGAATGAGTCTCTAGTATTATATAATTGACACTCCGTCCCTTTGCATTCGTAATCATTATTGTTATGTGAGTACGGCTTTAGTAAGTAACTAAGTCTTAACTTTTGTTATTATCTGTATTTACCCCTTTTAGTGTGTAGATTAAATTTTTTTTGGGGGGGGGAGGGGGGGGGGGTAGGGGTCTGGAATATTAGGTTTTAAGAGGTTATGTGTGGGGGGGGGGATCTGATATCTTAGGTTTTAAGAGGTTATGTGTGGAAGGGGGGGGGGATCTGGAATCTTAGGTTTTAAGAGGTTATGTGTGGGGGAGGGGGGTCGGGGGTCTGGAATCTTAGGTTTTAAGAGGTTATGTGTGGAGGGGGGGGGGGGGGATCTGGAATCTCAGGTTTTAAGAGGTTATGTGTGGAGGGGGGGATCTGGAATCTCAGGTTTTAAGAGGTTATGTGTGGAGGGGGGGGGATCTGGAATCTTAGGTTTTAAGAGGTTATGTGTGTGGGGGGGGGGAGAATCTGGAGCCTGACGGTTTAAGTGGAAGGGGTGTGTGTGTGTGGGGGGGGGGGGGAGGGGCTCATGACTGTTAATTTAGGACTGCATGACGTCACCACTCTGGGGACTGGGATTGCCCTGACAGAAACACATTTCCATAAACACGGAGCAGCTGATCAACAGTAGCTCTGCATCTGTTTCAGCTTGGGCCTCAAGCCGGACTGTGTGTGCTTGAGGTCTTCAACGGTGCCCGTGGTTTGCAGCCATCGCTCATATTTCTTCTCTTGAACTGGCCATATCTGGCCAGTTATGTAAGACGTTCTAGAATTTGATTTGGTGCACAACAGCTGAATATGGCGGAGTCGGCTACAGTGTCTTGTTCTGTGTCAGACCTCACTGCCTCCTGCTTGACAGTCTTGCTTTATTTTTTTAAATCCAGTATTTCCAACAGTAGACGCCCACGTCATGTATTTGATTCCCTTGGAATAATCGATTTCAGTGTTTCCTATAGTTGACATTCATGTTTTGTATTTATTTTTCTATTAGAATGTTGTTTTCAGTATTTGTTATAGTAGAAATCTGCGTGTTTAGACTTTATTCCTTTGGACTATCGTTTCCAGTATTTCCTATTTTAGACATCCATGTGTTATTCCTTTGGATAGATTTTGTATTTCTGGTAGTAGAATTTGTTCACATTAAATTAAATCGCTTACTATTAGTCGCTTCCGCTATTTCTGCACGTACTTTCAGGTTATCAGAGTGTCGACATGGATGATGACATTTTAATTTATAAGACGATCTGAAGTAATATAATTTAAATTATGATAATTAATAATGAATCTATATTTACTGCAGAGATTCGGCCTATCGTAATATGTAATTTTTAGCGTAAAGACCGAAAGCTTCCCCCACCCCCATCCACCTACCC